GATCAAAAGGCTGCTACGGTTTGTACGAGACTCACGCCGATTACGATCACTCCATACCCGCTTCTCTTCCCATATGAGAGAAGGGCTGGACCTACACAGACGAGTTCGCGAATGGTGCTGAGTATCGAAAACAAGAAGGCGATGTCGCTTCGTGAACACGTCGCGTTCCGCCTCCACCAGAAAGCGGATGATCAGTCCGCTCTCCACCAAGGTGGGCGTCTATTTCAGCAGTGGTGTGTAGATCAGCGTGCAAAATGTGAGCAAGAACAGCTTCGCTGGGTGGCCAACAATCAGAAAACACTACGCGCCGATCAAAACAGGGGTGTTCAAGACGCTTTGCTCAACGAAGATACTTTGGCTCTGGCGGAAGGAGAAGTACTGCTGTCGGAAAATGACCGGGCCCAGAACAGATTGGTGCACCCAGACCGGGACGGAGGCGGCAGAGGACGACCTACCCATTTTCTTAACCAGGTTGGCAAGCGTATCATACTACCGGCTTCACACCTGGGTAGCCCGCGGTCCATGTACAACTCGTATCAAGATTCGATGGCAATTGTTCGGGAGTATGGACGGCCCGACGTCTTCCTGACGGAAACATGCAACCCCAAATGGGACGAGATTCTTGAAGCGATACCTTCCAATATCCAGACAGCTCAAGATCGACCAGACATCGTGGCTCGCGTCTGGCAGCAGAAACTGCAAGCGACGCTTGACGATTTAAACCAAGGCGTTCTGGGGCGAGTGCGCGCGCGGATTTACGTTGTCGAGTTTCAGAAACGAGGGCTCCCCCACGCTCACGTACTGATTATTTTGGCTGACGAAGACAAACCTCGAACCCGGGAGATCGTAGACAAGATGGTATGCGCTGAGATCCCAGATAAGGATACAAACCCTCAGCTGTATGAGACGGTCATGTCATGCATGCTCCATGGTCCATGCGGGCCTGCAAACCCTTCCTGCGCGTGTATGAAGGACGGCAAGTGCACCAAAGGATATCCGAAGCCCTTAGCAGAAGTTACACAAGCCAATGCCAATGGATATCCAGTCTACAGACGACGTCGACGGCAACAAGGTGTTCTAAAGTTCAAAGGCAGAGAATACGACAATGCTACCATCAACCAGTGGGTTGTACCGTACAACCCGTACTTATCCCAGAAGTACAACTGCCACATCAA